TTTGGGGGTTCGACCTGCCAAATTGAAACAGTTATGTACGTAAGTAAAAAAAAGACAAAAACGTCCCTGCATCTATTCGACAAGAGAAAAAAGTAAAAAAACATTCTTAGGTCACATCTACGTAGCACCGTGTTCGCGTTCTGAGGAGAACGCGAACATGTTCGCAAGCTGTTCGCGCGAACGCGCGAACACGTTCGCGGGAACATGAAGGGGCGCGAACATGTTCGCCGTGCTATGCAGGGTCCCGTCAACAAAACCTTTATAATTCGAGTTATTTGCCCCAATTGAGGCAAAAGGGGCAGCAGACCCGTAAACAAATTTTTATATTTGTCAAACGTGACAAAAAGTACGACAGACCCAAAAAAAAAAAAATTGTCATTTCATTTCAACCGACATTCTAGCCTGGGTGCGAAAAAAAAAAATAAAAAAAATTTTGAGTTGTCGCATTTTGTCCCGTTTGGGGGCAAATGAATATAAAAGTTTTCTTGTGGGGGAGATTTATAACTTTTCCCTTTAGCAAAACTAAATGCGTGATGGAAATCGATATAGGGAATAAGAGGATCAAGGCATGATTCCACTAGCAAAGAAGTAAGGTAAAGTGTATCCCATAAACACATGTGGGATATCCGCGGAACATCGTTCGACGATTGGTGCAAGAAAATCGTACAACATCAAAAACACGATGAATTTATATTTTGAAAGTTTTTTTTCCTTTTTTTATTCTTTCTTTTTAATTGCAAAGAATGAAATGTGGGGAAAAAAATAAAACTCATTCTGGTTGACATCACTTCAAAGGAGGGGAAAAAAAAAAACTTCAAAGTATTGGTATAAACCATTTTTTTTCTCGGTCAATTGCAACTTTATTGAGTAGTTGTTTTTTTTTTCAAAATAAAGGACGCTTCAGCATTGAAAGTGTCACATATGACAGTCCCTTCGAAACAACTAAGGGACTCCCTTGCAGTGGTGCATGAGACTACAATCGTAATGTACTGCTCCGTCCTCATTTTGCAGTAGCGGGTTGGGAAGCAGAAGGTGAGGGGAAGTTGAGTGAAAGGGAAGGAGAAAACATAAGAAATGATGCAGGGGGAAGCAACCAATGCTTGAAAGACTTATATGAATCTGGGCGTGTTTTTGCAAAGAGTCAAACAATTGAATGAACACCTACAAGACCAATAGAATTGTAAGTGTAGCGGACCTCTGGTTGGCCTGTGAGACCAACCCCTTGGCCTGTTCTCACAGGCCTGTATTTTATTCGGGGCAGTCCAGTCCAGGCCTATACCTCTGTCGGTACCAGCCAGTCCAGTCCAGTCCCGTCAATCCGCTGGGGTTTACCCCAGCAGTTGTCTGTTTTCGAGATCATTCTACACTTGCAAGATTTGGAGTACGTGCGCTGGAGTCTTGCGTGGGAGCTGTGTTGTGCTATCTCGCTCCTCCCTCATCCTCCATCTCCGTCATCATCCTTAGCGGAGCACCACACCAGGTAGGTCCGCTACATTGGTATCGGAGCGGGAACGTTCCCCACTCCCACCCACCACCCCGTACAGCTGTACAGCTGAAAAAACAGCAAACTCGACAACGGGTTTTTTCGCTGTTTTTTGGGTGTTTCCGTGTCAAAACGACGGAAAAAGCAGGCGCCTGCAGGAGGTGACACATGGTGAAAAAAGAAGTCACCACCACGAGCGCGCAAGCGCAAGCGCCAAGGCCAAGGCCGCCACGCGCCCACGCTGCTCCGCTTCCGTATTTACATTATCAAGATCCGGGATTTTTGTTGCCGCTAGGGTTTGAACCCAAGCGCCTGCTGGGTCATGCGCGTGCGTAAGCACCTTCATAACACACTCGCCATAGAGTGTACATGGTATTGTAGTATGGCACACTCGTGTTGAAGAGGTGCCGTGCTGGCTATTTAACCCCCCCCCCCCCCCCCCCCCCCCCCCCCCCCCCGGGGGGGGGCGCCCGCCCCGCTCCCGCCCCCCCCCCCCCCCCCCCCCCCCCAAGCGCCTGCTGCTGCCTGCGCACGTGGCTGAAGACCCCCCTGCTTAGGGGGCTGCTCTACAGTGGTGAGGGTCTGCTCCCACAGCAGACCCTAGATCTGCAGATTTGCAGAACTGCTATTGAGGGCTGATCAAGATCTCAGCCCCCTCTCTCCTCCAGCTGGCTTGCTGCAGCGAAGGCCAAGACCCTCCTGGTCTTGGTGTACCTTGTGCCCTTGGAGACACCAAGGGCCAAGTATCACTTCTCTCTCTCTCCTCCCTCTACTAACCCACCCTCCGTATCTCCTGTCTCTTATACACATCTAGATGTGTATAAGAGACACCAGCTGGCTTGCTGCAGCGAAGGCCAAGACCCTCCTGGTCTTGGTGTACCTTGTGCCCTTGGAGACACCAAGGGCCAAGTATCACTTCTCTCTCTCTCCTCCCTCTACTAACCCACCCTCCGTATCTCTCTCTCTCTCTCTCCTCTTACTCATACCCCTCTCCCCACCCCACCTTTTCTCCCACCACCCATTCTTTTACTCTCTTTTCTTTATTTATTTATTTTTCTTTCCTCCTTCTTTTCTCTTTGCTTCTTGATCCCTCTCCACCTTTCCCCATCCCTCCTCTCCCCCAACTACCACCACACCATCCCCCTACCCCCCACTTCATCTTTTTCTCTCTCCCACCTATTTTTTCTTTTCTCCTTCACTTTTTCATTCCCCTTCCCCCCTACTTCGAATTTTTTCTGTTTTTCTTCTTTCTCTCTCTCTTTTTATTTATCTTTTCTATTTTTTCCAACAATTCGAATTATCTCCCTCCCCACCTTCTTTCTCATTTTCTGATTTATTTTATTTATTTTTTCTATTTATTCTGAAAATTCAATTTTCTTTACGGCAACCCTAAATCTGATTAGGTGTTAGTCCTTCTTGCTTTCGGCACACGTTTTGACCCCGTAGGGGTAACGAAGTGCTGCCGAAATTTTCTGATTTTCTCTTACTTAGTCTTTTTCGGCACACTTCGACCCCATGGCGGTAACGAAACGCTGCCAAACTTTTTGAAAAATCAGATACCCCATCTCTCTCCAGCTCCTCACCCACTTATTTACCTATTTATTTATTTATCTATTTATTTATTTATCTATTTATTTATTTATCTATTTATTTATTATTTCTTTATTTATTTTTTGAAAAATTTTATTTGCGGCGGTTTGAAACCTAGTGTGCTTCTCTTGGTCTCTCCTTTCCCCTTGGCACATTCTTGACCCCATGGGGAGTAGGGAAATGCTATCGAAAATTTCAAAAAAATCAAAAAAAAAAAAAATTCACATTTTTTTTACTTATTTCCTTAATTATTTTTGTTATTTATTTTCTTTTGTTTTTCTCTTGAAATCTCGCTGCTTATTTATTTTTCTCCCGCCTTCCCCCTCTATGTTTGCTATTCTATTTTCTTGATTAGGTCACCGGTACCGTACCTTAACCACTCAAACTTCGGTTAGGGTTTTCTTAGGGCTTTTCTAGGGTTTAGGGTTCTTCAAAACCCCCCTACTTCCCCTTCCTCTTGGGGCACCCTGGACCCGAACCACCTCTCCCCCTTTGACGGCGCCCGCGCTAGCCTTGCTAGCGTCGTCCGCCGCTTTCTACCGCGGACCCCCCCCTACGCCCTCCGCTCACGCGCCCATCCAGGCGCAACTCGCGTCGTCCGGCCCGTCACCTCCCCATCCTTGCTAGCATCGTTCGGCCCGTCACCTCCCCATCCTTGCTAGAGTCGTCCAGCCCGTCACCTTCCCATGGTCGATAGTGTGTCACACGTCACCGACGCGGCGACGACCACGGCACAAGGCTCCACACCCGTGCCGATGGACTAGGGCCACCAGCCCCAGGGGGATCTGCACACCCTCTTCACCTCCCTCCTTGCGCCCATCCAGGCGCAACTCGCGAACCTCGCGCCCTTACAGGCGCAGGTGGCGGCCCTTGCCGCCGGCATGCGGCAACTCCAGCACGCTGGTCGTCCTTCCTCTCCTCACCCTCTCTCTTCTCCTGGCTCCCAGTCTGGGTCCCCCGTTCTTCGACAAAGTGGCCACGGCGGAGCTTCCTCCTCTGCCATCCCCGACCCGACCATCTTGGTAACCGTCCACGCCCCTAACACGACGGTCGCCACGAGTCAGGCCCTCCCTCACTCTACGGGCGCACCCGCCCAGATTCCGGTCACTACGGCCACGGAACCACAAACTGCGACCATGGTCTTAGCTTTTCCGGGTGCCCCGCTTCTCCCTCCCCTTCGCACGACCGCAGCGCCACCTGGCTCTCCCCCCTGTGGGATGCCCCGCACCGCTTGTGCGTCCACTTCCTCCAATCTTCCTCCTGCCACTCCTCGCTCGATCCACGTCCAACGTCTCGAGGACGAGCTTGCCCAGCTTCGGGCCGACCTCGCCCTCTTACGCCTTCAGCCACCCCCACCCTCACAGGTGGCGGCGCCTTCGAGCGCACCCCCTACCTCCTCTACCCCTCCTCCCATGCAGGCTCGCTTCCCGCGCCCTGCACCCTATCCAGCCCCATCCTACCTTCTTCCTACTCCCGCGGTTGTTGCGACCTCGTCTACCGCAACTCTCTCGTAGTCTGCGGCAGTTGCCCCCGCCACTCCCCCATGCGGCCCGGGCGCACAGTCAGCTGCGCCCCTTTCTCCACGACCTGCGCGGACTTACTCATCCGTGGCACAGGCCTCTGCTCCTCAATCCCCTCGCCGCCAAAACGGTGGCGCACCACTCATCCGCTTGTCGGACATTGCCCTGTATGACAATACAGCATACGCGTGTCTCGGTGGCTGCAATGTGCCACCCGCACGCTCCAGGTCATGGGCGCCACACCCGACACGTGCGTGGGTCACCTCTCCACGCGCCTGCATGGCGGTCCTTTCGAGGTCTGGGAGGATTTCTACTCGCACTCCCTCCGCGCCGGTCGGACCCCGACCTTCATGGATTTCCAGGCGTTCCTAGAGGATCGCTTCGGAGCCCAACATGACGTGACTGACGCCTTTGAGCGTGTCGTCACTACACGCTGGTCCGGCACTGGTGGCGCTGTCGGCCTGGATCGCCACATCCAGGTCTTTCAGGACGCCCGCCTCATTTGTGACGTGGCGTTCCTCCCCGATGCTTCCCCTATCAATCGTTTCTTGGTCAGCCTCAAGCTCGAGTACCGCTCCGAGTTTTGGCGGTACGAGTTCACATCGGCCCCGCAGGCTTACGAGGCCGCCAGGGACCATCAGCGGATGTGGGCCCGTCTTCACCTTGCCTCCTCCTCCCAGCCCCAGCGTACTGCTTACGCCTCCTCCTCCTCGCACGGCACTTTCCAGTATTGTTCCCCTTTCCGCGGTCGCCCTCGCCGTTCCGCGCAGCAGGGCCGCCACTTCTCGCGTCGCTTTAGCGCGCTCGAATATGGTGAGCAGGACGCTGGTGCCCCGCTGTCGCCAGAGGGTGACCATAGCGACGACCTCGACCTCGGCGAGGCCGTCCACCACCACCTGGAAGACACTACTTTCCCTATGGCCGAGCGCCTCCAGCTCATCCTCTCCGCCCTCTCCCGGGCACACAGCCGCCCCGGTCACACTGGCGCGTCGCCCCCCGAGGTCCCTCAACAGGACCTCCCTCAGGGCTTTGTCCCTCCTCGTGGTATCCTTTCCGCTGAGGAGCGCGCAACCATTTTGGGCCGGCGTGGATGTTTGCTATGCCGCCTGGACGGTCATACCTCCTCGCGGTGCCCTTATACCACCGCTCTCGACCGCCACTACGCCGACCTTTCCCGCCAGTGTCGTGCTCAGTCCCCCCCCGGCGCCTCCTAGCCACGGTGCAGTGTACACCTGCGCCCTCCTCAGTAGTCGGCTTCCCGACATCCCCGCCGCAGTTTGCCCCTCTCGCTACAAGAGTTGAGGTCTCGCAGAACCCGACAGAGTGTACTCAGCTCTCTGTCATAGTACCGTCTGAGCCTCCGCAGACCACCGTCCCCCCTCCTACCCCGTCACGACTACAGACGCGTCAAGCCATTCGCTCAGCCCGTTGCAGCGAGCAGCTCGCTACTCGCGAGGACGTTGTATCCTCTCTTCTGGACTTGAGCATGCTCCAGGCTCATCAGGAGCGACTCACCCTCCATGTCGCTGCACTTCGTCTCCTTCTCACCATCCTCTCTGACCCTGATCGCACCCTCCCGATCATCCCCGTACGGCTGGGGACCTCCACGAGGGTGTACTCAGCACTGTGGGATTCCAGTTCTCAGGGCGACTTCATTCACCCATGTGTGGTGAAAGAAGCCCGCTTACCCACGACCGGGTCGCCGACTCCCATCTCTGTTACCCTTGGGGATGACAAGACCCAGCGCTTCTTCGATCAGACGGTCACCGACCTCCCCTTCTTCCTCACTCTCTTCTTCCTCACTCTCGAGCTGACTGATCGTCCCCCGGCGTCTCGTCGCCACCGCTCCTCTGCACATTTCGATGTGATGGAGACGGGGTACGACTTCATTCTCGGCACTTCGTGGTCTCGTCGGTTCTGCAACACCGAGGCCGATTGGGCGACCAACACTCTCGTTCTCAAAATGAAGTGTGGACAGACGTATCGCGTACCTTTCATAGGTACCACTGCGACACCATGCCCCGATCCTCCTCCCCCGGAGCCTTCCGTGTCCACATCACCTCCTTTTATCTTTGTCACCTCGCCTCGGCAGCTCGCCCACTTCATCCGACAGGACGACGTCACCTTCTTTATGGTGAACGTGACGGATCTCTTACACTATGATCCACCCTGTTCCGACGCCGAGCTTATCCCTTTGGAGCCAGATCCTCCTTCTATCTTCATGGCTCCCATCTCTACTTCCCATCCTCCATCGTCCGTCGAGTCCACCCCGCCATCGCTCGCTGACGCTGGCGCTGAGGAACTCGCACGATATACGGCCGACCTGGAGCCCGAAGTTCGTGACCTTATTCGAGAGTACCACGACGTTTTCTCATCGTCGTTCTCGTACGCTGGCATCCCACCGATGCGCGACGCCGAGCACTTCATCCAGCTTGTGCCTGACCACCGTGTTCACCACCAGACACCCTACAGACTCTCGATCCCCGAGGCCACCGAACTCAAGCGTCAGCTTGAGGAGCTCCTGAGACTGGGTTTCATTAAACCCAGCAACTCCCCGTGGGGTGCACCCGTCCGCTTTGCTCGCAAAGCAGATGGAACTCTCCGTCTCTACATCGACTATCGCGGCCTCAACCGCTACACGGTTAAGAACAGCTACCCCATGCCTCGTTTCGACGAGCTGTTCGACCGCCTAGCAGGCAACCGCTTCTTAACGAAGACTGATCTTCGTAGCGGTTACATCAAATCCGCGTCACTGCAGCTGAGCAGCCGAAGACAGCGTTCCGATCGCGCTTCGGTCACTACGAGTTCACGGTGATGCCGTTCGGCCTCACCAATGCACCCGCTACCTTTCAGAGGGTGATGAACGACATCTTCAGGGACATCCTGGAGCAGTACGTTCTCGTCTACCTCGACGATATCTTGGTCTACAGTCGTAACCTTGAGGAGCACCTCAGACACCTCTGCGACGTCCTTGACCGCTTGTGCAAACATGGCTTCTACGCCAAATTGAGCAAGTGCCGCTTTGCCCAGCACAAAGTAGATTTCTTAGGACACTACGTGTCTGACCAGGGTCTCCACATGGACGACGTGAAGATCATTGCTATTGCGGATTGGCCCGTCCCCACATCCGCCAAGCAGCTTCGTAGCTTCCTAGGCCTTACCAGCTACTATAGTAATTTCATCCACGGATACGCTAGGTATTCCTACGTCCTTACCTCCACCCTCCTCCGGAAGAACCAACCCTGGGCTTGGACACCTCTCCACGAGGACGCCTTCCGCGCCCTCAAGAAGGCGGTGACATGCGCACCGGTTCTTCACCTACTCGATTTTGACCGCCCTTTTTTTCTTACCACCGATGCGTCAAACTTTGTTGTAGGAGCTGTGTTTTCTGAGATTTTCCCCTCCTCCCCTGATTCCTCTCATCCTCGTATCCCTCGCTTCCCACCACCTACCCCTACCACTTCTTCCCGACCGACGCCTACTCGTCCAGCTATTAACGAGCCTTCTATTGACTATTCTCCTACCATCGCTGAGGACGGCACTGTCGAGTCTCGCTAAGGTGATTCTCCGATAGCCTTCTACTCCCGTCAACTTCTGCCTGCCGAGATAAACTACATTGCTGATGAACGTGAGGTTCTCGCAGTAGTTTATGTCGCTCGGCACTGGCGTCACTACCTGCACGGGGCACCATTCACAGTGTGCACGGACAACTCTGTTGTCCAGGTTTTTCTGACAAAACCGAAGCTCACTCCTCGATAGGCTCGTTGGTGGCGCGACCTATCCAAGTTTAGTTTCACCACTGAGCACATCAAGGGTGAGACTAATCGAGTCGCAGATGCCTTATCCCGGCGCCCTGACCACGACAAGGAGTAGATCCATCTATCTTCCATCTCGGTCACCACCGTCCACCACTCGGTGATCGACGAGTTTCGCACTCAGTACCGCCACTGCCCCGACTATCGCGACATCCACACGACCCTTCGGAGTGGCAAGACCGTCCCGAACTACTCGCTCGGGGACAACGGTCTTGTGTACTGGCACGGCTCACAGGGCACCAGAGAGCCCCGTATTTGCATTCCCTCCATTGGACAGCTACGTGTCCGAGCAGTAGCAGAGTTCCATGACCAGGCAGCCCCCGGTCATATGGGCTTCCACAAGACGTTGGCTCGTGTGAGCCGCCTATACGTCTGGCCGAAGCGCAAGGACTTTGTGAAGGACTACGTCACAGAGTGTCCCATCTGTCAGGAGGTGAACAGTGTGAACCACTTGCCTTATGGTTTGCTCCAGCCTCTTCCTATCCCTCAGGGTCGTTGGCAGTCCATCTCGATGAGCTTTATCGGTCCTCTTCACCCTCCGACCCCCCGGGGTCATGATGGTATCCTGGTCGTCGTCAGTCGCTACACGAAGTGTGCACGCTTTGTTCCGTGCTGCTATGCCATCAGTGTCCGTGAGGTCGCCGACATCGTGTTTGACCGAGTCGTGTGTGACCACGACTTACCTCTGAGCATCATATCTGACCATGACCCGCGCTTTACCAGTCGATCCTGGCGACGGCCCCACGAGGTGTACGGCACACAGCTTCGCTTCTCCTCGTCTTACCATCCTCAGACTGATGGTCAGACCGAGATCACGAACAGGACTCTCGGAGATATTCTCCGAAAGATTGTTCGTGACGACCAGCAGTGGGATCTCCATCTCACCCACGGGGAGATAGCCTACAACCACGCCGTCTCGCCAGCCACGGGTATGTCGCCTTACTATTGCGACCTCGGCTATCACCCTCGTGTTCCCGTGGATTTCCTTCGACTGTCACAGATGCACCCCGTTGTCCCGCGCTGGATCATTGGGTTGCACACATGACGTCGATGATGAAAACCGCACATGAGCACATAGCCACTTCCCCGACTCGCATAACAGCACGTGCGAACCGATCGAGGATGGATCATTCATTCAAAGTCGGTGATGATGTGTTTATCGACGCCCGCCACTTACAGCTCGAAGCGGACACGCTTCGCAAGTTTCAGCGTCAATTCTTTGGCCCATGCCGCATCCTCCAGGCCGTCGGTTCTGATACGGCTTCTAGCCCAGGTAGCTTCCGTGTGAAGCTGCTAGACTACCTACGCCAGGCTCGTGTGCACGATGTCTACCACGTCTCGTTACTGCGTCCTTACCACAAACCGTCTGAGCGTTTCGCTGGACGACCATACGAGCGCCCTCGATCCATCATGGTGGACGGCCACGAGGAGTTCCTCGTTTCGGACATCATTGGTCGCCGAGTCACCGACGACAACCCTCCCCACGTCGAGTATCTCGTACGTTGGAAGGGTTAGCCTGATGAGGAGGCTACCTAGGATCCCCTCAAACACTTGCAGCACGCTCGCATGTTGGTGCGTGCCTATGACCGTGTTTGTCGTACTGGGTTCACTGCTCCTCCTCAACCCACTGACCCTCCTCCTTCTCCCCCGACTGAGGAGACCGCTAAAGTCAAGCCTGCCCCTTCTGAGGAAGACCTTCAGCAGCAGTCAGCAGAAAAATTCCCACGAGAAACGAAAGTTGAAAAAACATTCCGTAAAAAAAAATCCTTCATATTTATAAATCATCATTCCAATGTTCGTCCAATTCTAAAATTTTCAATTTAATTTGACAAGTTCCCGTCTAAAAATGAGTTTTCCCTTCCAACTACATCTATTTGTTCAAAATGGAATGAAAGTCTGGACGAGTTTATGAAATGTTTTAATTAGATTTTCATTCTACGACAACAAATATCTTCTAATTTAGATTGGATTAACCTATTTATGACTGGAAATCCTTACTTGGAATGACAGTCCAATTAAAATGTTTCATGAACTCATCCAGTCTTTCATTCCATCTTTAATATATAGTTCAAATAAGAAGGGATACCCCATTCTTGGAAGGAAAGTTTTCAACTAAGACGGAAAATTATAAATTTGGAATGACATTTTTTCAGATAGAATGAAAATTTAAAATTTAGAATGTAATTTTACTCTAGAATGATTATTTAATTCTTGAAAATTTTTCTGTTGGCCGGATGCTTTTGAGCGTCAACAGCGCACTCGTCGTCGTCCTGCTCGATACGACGATTGACTCTAACTTACATTTTCACGTCTTTGACTTCTCAGTACTCCATCCACTCCTGTTTTGCTACTTCAGCTCATCGACGTTGCGGCTCTTCCTCGACGACATTCCGGACTTCTCATCGTGGACGTTATCGGCAGCTTCATGGACTTCGTCACGATCAGCTCTGCCTACTCCAGACGTCATTACTCCCTTACCACTTTACCCTGTACAGTACCCTGCTTGTGTCGCATGATGGTCTCCCTTTAGCCGGGTTCCTCTGAGTTGGGCTCTCCTTTGGTATATGCATAGGCATTGGGGCCGTAGCGTTGCCCTGGCTTCCCACCTTACAGATCTAGCTCCGACTTCCCTCACTTTAGGAGTCATTTGCATGATTCCCCTACCCATCACCTCTACCCTCTGCCGGCCCTCACGCCCTAGTTAGGCAGCCCCGCATGCTTCATCTAGGTGCGCCCAGTATACCAGGCTCCCTTGTTCCCTTGCATGGTCGACCCTCCATAGCGGTCACCCCTTAGTCGAGCATTACCCGCCCTGATGGTCTATCTGTTAGGGTCATTTGTTCTGTTCGCTCCCAGTTCCCTACCCTCATTGAGCCTGATGACATGTGTTCCCCCTGTCACTATGTGTGAATGCCCTTAGGAGTTATCGACCCCTAGGCTGCATTCGCCACCCTCAGAGACCATCCCGCCCTTTGGTTTGCGTCACACTTCTCCTGTGACATATGGTTGCTTTGTTGCTCTCAGACTGAAGTTACTGCCTCCGACATTTTTAGGATTTAGCTGTTCTGCTTTTGCTATTCTTAGGACTTATACACTAGTCAGTTGTTCCCAGACTGAGGCTACTGCCTCCAACATTCTAGGATCTAGTTGTCACTACTTTCTGCTTTCCTATGACATGTATGTTAGTTAGTTGCTTCTGCTTTCCTAGGACATGTATGCTAGTTAGTTGCTTCTGCTTTCACTTAGGCCGTTAGCTGTGACATTGTTGTTTTGTGACACTTTCTATCCTAGGTTGCATCGCATGGACTCAACATGGAGCTTGCTTCGCATCCTAGACTACTCAGGTTTTCTTTTCCTTTGCTAGAGTTCCGCTTCTTGGCGAAAACGTGCTTGTATCTAGGCGATCCATCACAGGCCGAGGATCGTGTAGCGGACCTCTGGTTGGTCGGGCAGTCTAGTCCAGGCCGGTACCTCTGTCGATACCAGCCAGTCCAGTCCAGTCCCGTCAGTCCGCTGGGGTATACCCCAGCAGTTGTCTGTTTTCGAGATCATTCCACACTTGCACGAATTGGAGTAAGTGCGCTGGAGTCTTGTGTGAGAGTTGCGCTGTGTTGTCTCGCTCCTCCCTCATTCTCCATCTCCATCATCATTCCTAGTGGAGCACCACACCTGGTGGGTCTGCTACAGTAAGGTACAAAAGTGCAGACTTTGTTTTGAGCCATTGTGACTAATACTGCTAATATCATTAAAGCAATACTGCAAAAAAAAAAAGATTGTTTGTTATGTTAAATCATAAAAGTTAAAAAGAAACATATTTCAAACACATGCAGTCGGACATGATTTCAAATGTGAGAAGCATTACAAAAATGTCAAAGCACCTTACGAGGACGAAGCATGTACAATTGTTTGAAAAACTAAGAAGAGTTGCTAAGGGAGTAAACCATTATTTTGTAAGTCAATTTAAAGCACTTCGCATCTTTCCAGGAATCATCTTACCAGTCTTACACACATGCTACAATAACAATTACAATAGGAAGCAAGGTTTTAAGGCGGAGTGAACCTTAAAAGATTGCCTCAGTTCGGATTGTTCTTTACAAATCAAGAACATGAAATTATGATCGTTATCAATGACTACTATGGTCCCTTCATTGCCCCTAGTGTTTGCACTTTCGGGCGATCCTAAATTCCAACCAATTGCCAACTTGAAAAACCTCAAAAAATGACACTCATGGGTATGAGAAAGTGAGAAAGTTATTTTTTCATCTAGGTAATAATGAACTTAAACCCCTAATTCTCTCGCCGTAAACGAAACAATTTAATGATTGAGTAATTTTCAATCAAAAAGGTCTTTCTTCCATTCTGATAATCCAATATGGCAAACTTTTTTTTTTTTTTGCAATATTTATTCCATGATATTAGGAGCATTAGCTGTAATGGAAAAAAACAAAGTGAAACGTTTTTTTACTATAACTCTATTGTCTACATCGGTTATCTTTTAATTAGTTTTTCATATGAATCTGGGTATTTGAGATTCTCTTTATTATGGATTATTAATCAAGTAATTAATAATCCATAATAAAAAGAATCTCAAATATGACACAATAGAATATATATATGCTTGGAATCACTGACTAAACTGTAGAAGATAAAAAAACATCAGTAAGTAAAAAAAAACACTCCCAGGCAACCGCCCGGTTAAAATTCTATATAGTAACCCCAAAGACTTGCCTGGAAGAATTTGAAGCACTAACTCAAGGAATTGAAACATGAGATGCTAATATAATAATTGCTCGGATATGTTCGACAAGGCAAACTGCTACAATACTGCACATTTTTTCCCTTGTACAACCATTTTCACTTAAAAGTCATATAGAGTGATAAATTCTTAAAAAAATATAAATTTATTTTTTTGTAGTATGAAAATATAATTTCCCTTAAAATTAGTACATAAACCAATCATAATGTATTTGATGAAATATCATACAAAAACACTTTCTGAAGCCAAAAGTATTAAAGGGATTGCCGTCATCGTAGAAGCATTATGACATCTTCCGATATTCCACTTAAAAACATTGGTTGGAGAAAAAAAAAATTGTCTTCTCTATTGGTAGCGGTATGCTTTGACGTTGGTTGACCTGATAAAGAAAGCGACCTCAATGCAACCCATCTCTGTTCGCCATAGGCCCGCCGTCCACGTGCTTACCCGCCATGATAGCGGACATCACCTTTCTTACTATGTATGGTCTGCATTAATTGAAATATAATAGAAATGGGGGCGGCCATAATTTATTTAAATAAACTGACCTTTGGAGAACTACAACAATAGATAGATCGCTTCACGCCCACTTTCTCTGCCCCGATCTAACACGTTCAAATTCATGCGTTGAATCAAACGCCGCATTCGGCGCAATCAAGCAGTGAATCAATTGTCTTCACTGGGCGTTGCCCGAGTGGGGCAAGGGGGGTGGAAAGGGGAGGGTGAGTGGGAGGGGAGGACGTCGAGCGTCACGAGTTTTTTTACGTGTAACGTCATATATATATATATATTTGTAACAAAGTCTTCGTGAAAACCAAACAATCTTTATAGACCGGAGAAAACCAAAATTTTACCACTCATTTTCACTCCGCTGGTGCTACTTTTACATATTGTATGTCGCACCTACTGTTGGAAAACATAACAAATCAAGGTTCCTGGTAGGAGAAGGTGATAAGTAAGACGAAAGCTTGTCCACGAAGCCTCATTTTTATAACGTATAAAACCAATTCAACAAGAGGTCCCAAAAACCGCTTGCAGTCGAGAAATGAATTATTTGCTCTGATGAAACCGTCCAAATATGATAATTCATTCCACAACATTAGATACGACTTACAAACTTAGAGGAAAGTTAAGAAAACCCAGGCAAGATAACGATCACTCCAAAATGTAGTGCGTTGTACGAAAGCTGGACGTCTTGGCATGTGCACCTTCGGAGTCCTTTCATTAAAGCAGCAGAAAACAGACAGCATTCAGGCCTTCCTAATTTCGTTTATAGTTCTATAAAGCAAGAGGCAAAGACACACTAAAAAAAAATGATAAAGATCAAGCACTCCTAGAATGTACATTCTTGTACCGCTGCCCGACGTCTCGACGTTTGCATGTTTATAGTCCTATAATACATAACACAAAAATTGTTGCAGCTTTCAAATTTTCAATTCGCTTTATAGTTCTATAAAACACGGCGCACACACAAACTAAAAAGATGACAAAGAACAAGCACTCCTAGAATGTATGTTCTTGTACCGTTGTCCGACGTCTCGACGTTTGCATGTTTATAGTCCTATAATACATAACACAAAAAATTGTTGCAACTTTCAAATTTTCAATTCGCTTTATAGTTCTATAAAACACGACGCACACACACACTAAAAAGATGACAAAGAACAAGCACTCCTAGAATGTACGTTCTTGTACCGTTGACCGAAGTCTCGACGTTTGCATGTTTATAGTCCTATAATACATAACACAAAAAATTGTTGCAGCTTTCAAATTTTCAATTCGTTTTTTAGTTCTATAAAACACGACGCACACATACGGGAGAAAAAAGGAAAGAAACAAGCACTCCGAAAATATCTCCTTTGAACCGAAGATAGAGTCTTGACATTTGTGTATTTAGAGTCCTTTAAATTGAAACGCAAAAAATCATATCAGCTTCGGAATTGTCCTTTCCGTTTACAGCTCTGTAAAAACCGTCATGCACAAACACGCGAGAAAAAAGAAAACAAAGAAACACTCCGAAAATGTCTACCTTGAACCAAAGCTAGACGTCTTGACATTTGTGTATTTACATCCTAAAAATTGGAACGCAAAAAACCATCTCAACCTCAAAATTTTCGATTCTGTTAAGAGTTCTAAAAAAAATGACTCACAAAGACTGGAGAAAAAGGCGAATGGTGATACCATTCCTAACCTGCCAGAACGAGGTAAAAAACACTAGAAAATGCTACTTCGAACTGAGGACTTAAAAATGCCTAATTGACAAATTTGTGGAAAAAAATACCTGAATTACTTTGAAATCAATCCCTACAACTGTTGCTTCTTTCAACAGAGTGTCTCGCCGATGTATCTCTGCTGAGCGGAGGGCATACGCGCGAAGCTCGTGACCGGCTGCGGTCTTTTTCTCTACAGGTTTCTGCCTTCCAATACTCGAACTCCTGTATCTACGCCGGCCTCACCCCAGAGGGACAAAAAAAAGTGGCCTGCGAACACAACTGCATTGCTAGGTCCCTTAGAGATTTCCCCTTGATTGAGAAGTTGTGCAGGCAGGAAACGTTCTTAGAGAAGGGTTTCAAAACGACGGCGGGCACAAAGCAAGCTTGCTTGAAGGGTTTCAAACAAAGAAAATAAGGTCAAGAGACTGACAAAACAAAGCAAACAATAGAGAAACACAAAAACGGAGAGTTTCGTCCGGACCAGTCACTCCATAAAAATATCAGGTGTTTTAATACCCTGAGAAAACACAGTAAAACAATAGAGAACACTGAAACAGAAAGTTTATGACGGGTCGGCCAAACCCTGACTGAACTGCGAAATCAATTTCCAAATGCTAAATCCTAACTTTCCCCCTACTGAATGTTCCTCCCTGGTGAAATAAATCCACCACTTCCTTTTGTCAGTTCTACGTTTCCAGTATTCTCTCTGAACTTTGTCCCTCGTTCCCGGACCAATTTCAAAGAGACCAGGCTGGCAACTTTCCCTACAGACGACGTACAAGTGAGCAAGATGAATATAGTCGCTGGGGTCGCTTCCTGGTGCCGCTGGTAACAGTGCAGGTAGTAAAGGTGCTTGCGTTACTCCTGGTCGTTGTCATTTACTAAGCATTTATAGGACTATAATAGTGTTGTTATCGGTGTTGTTGGTGTTGGCGATGGTTAGCTCCTCACCAGGCTGAAAGACATTCGTTGGCCTTCACTCCTCTTTACTGTCGCTCAGTGTTCCTGTTCCCTGAATCGAACCTTTGAGCACCCCTGTTGGCGCAATCCTTTTCCATAGTTGTTGGCTTGTTCGTTGCGAGTGCGATTCTTCTCCTCGCTGCGGGTCCTGATATGGTTGTTTGTCTACGCAGTTGCTAAGCGGATAACTTTCACAACTCTAACCTTAACACTGACACATCTTCTTCTTCGCCCTTCTCGTCTTCGAAACTTGTGTATGCCAACATCTCGGATATTTTTTTCCTCGTTGTTGAGAAAAGAAAGTTTTCACTTTCCAAAGGGAAATTGTAACAAAGAACACCACAGTTCCAGTCAAAGATATCTTCAGCAATTTCACGTCCTAACTTGCCCTTCACGTTTTTCTTGTAAAAGGGTATGTACGCTTTGCCTTTCTCCTTTTGCGCATACCAAAGAACCTTGAAACGTTGTCTCGGGAGGAGCTCGACGACCTTTCCGATATGGTAAGGTTTATTCCTTTCTTCCTCACCAGGGAAAACTCTAAGTGCAAAAAATTTTCCGACCTCCAAATCTTCATAACGTCCATCTCTTTCTTCTCTGTGCTGTCTGCTTTTTCGGACCCCTAAATAAACAGGCCTTTCAGGTGGAAAGAGATCTTCCAAATTGCGAGACACCGCATCTTCGGCCGTTGTTTTGGTATTTTCCTCGAATGGCCCTTGTACCGCTGGCAATTCAAAAGGAAACTTGAGGTTTCTGTCCTTGAAATCTATATTTTCCTGAGACTCGATCAACTCGTGCCACCAAATGATATTGTCGGGCGTTATGTACTTCGTGAGCGCCGTGATGTTCGCTTTAAGTGCAGCAATTGAGAAAGAATGTTGAACACGTTCTTGGAGATCTTCCTGGACAAGTCCACCACCACCGACAAGATCCTCATGTTCATGTTCTTCTCTTCCGCAGGTTAACCTGAACCGACCCTCTAAAGATCGTATTGCATGCTTCGGAGCAGCGAAAATCTCGCATGCTGGCTCTGACCGAAAGATATTCAGACCTTCTCTGTCGTTCGGTTGCCAAAGCGAACTGTGGTACTGCTTGCTCCACAGACGCACTTCGCCTGCATCATTTTTTTCAATCCGAAAATGTTGATTGAAAGTAATGTCGTTGACCTCCCAAAGATGCGGTTGAACGTACTTCTTCTAGTCGTATGTTTCGGACATACGTTCAAGAATGACAGGCTTTCCAAGTTCATCCTTATACGAACTCCGAATGACATGTTCGAGCTCAGGAAGATCGAAAGTCTGTTGTGAGTTGAGTCTACGGGAGAAACAACTAAACATCTGATCAATATCCTCGTGAGTACGACCTACTAGTAAAAAACTGAACTTCACCTTCCTGAAGATATTCATTTTCACCAGGTAACACAAATAGGCAAGTACATATCTGTTTTTATTCTCTTTCGTAGTATTGTCGAGATTGAGATAAAAAATCCGTGGGAAAGGCCTTGGAAGTTCGCAGATTCTACGGTGGAGCACACTAATCATGCAGTTAGAATCCGACTTAAAGTTGTCAAAAAACAATGTCGCGGATGTCTGCGTTGACATGCCTAGCACTTTTGCCCCGACAACATGCACCTTAACAAAGTTCCCTTCTTTGACCTTGGAATCTTTTGGACAATTTTGGAAGTGCGGCAAAATCGTCTTGCTCTGATCCATTCCGTCGATGATCAAACAGACATACTCCTCGGGGACGTTGGAAGGTTTGTGACGGTGTTTGTAGAGCTTGAACCTTTCACCTTCTTGCATCGAACGGTGCTTCGCCAATGCTCGGCCGTAAGTTTCTGTTCACAAGCACCGCAAAAGAGAGGGTTCGCAAAATGTCACTTTCGCAATCTAACTTAAGAATTATTTCAACTCGTTGTACAAAAGAGTTTTTCAAGCACATCGAATGATTGTTTTCCCCTCACCAATTCCTGCCGTGAAACAAAATAATTTATAGAACTATAAATTCACCTTCGTCTCAAAAGAAGAATACTAAAAGCTCACTAGCGTTCCTTAACAGCAGAGGCATTCAACTTTCTTGAATTGAACACACCGCGACCTCGGCAGTGTTTGTCTTGAGGCTTTAAAGCCGAGAGAAAAGAAACTTTTGACTGCCAGAACACCGTGACAAAACATTGTCAAGGAAACTCAAAGACATAACACAGAACACATAGCACTAGCAAAAGTGACTAAATTTTAGAACTTTAAATTCAACAACATCTAAAACGAACATTTATGTCAGATCCCAAGCAAACACTTAGAGTCATTTCCTATCTCAAGCTGCCTAACAAACACTTAGTAGGTCTAAACCAAAAATGAATACGAGTTACTCGGACTGTACATTACACGGTCTTAGCAAGTCACTGCACTGTAGGACAGGTATTTCAAATTAACATGTTAAACAAGACATGACAGTTGAAATCATCCTGTGGCAAACAGACAAAGCACAGAAAATCAGCGGTTAAGCGTTAGAAACAACAACTTTGAAAAAGATTAATATATAGAACTATAAATTAAATGGCGTATGAAACGAACACCAGCAAACGACAAGCATTCGTTCAGTTCAGACGAGAGAAAGCACACCAAATCACAGGTTCCGCTGGAAAGGACAACAGAAGTTGAATGATTTCTGGATTGTTCTAACAAACTTTTTATAGGACTATACTTCTACTTAATTTCTATACCTGAACGGTTCACATGTTCTCAAAAATACCGGCTGAAACGGGTTTAGGTTCAAGACAACAGCAGACTGAGTTGAAAGACAGTGACTCAGACGGTGTTTATTCACTTACCTCTTTCGATGCGGTTCTCTGCGTTTGCACGACCTGTTTTGAATGCTAGACACTGCGCACAGACGGAAAATTGGTTTGTGGATGGGATCACAACTTTAGGGTAGTGCTCAGTCCAGATCTTCAGAAAGTGTGAAATGGGAGGAACCTTAGACTCCGGAAACTGGGATCCACACTGTCGTACGAAAAAATTGTAAACATCCTTCTGGCGGAGGGTGTCCGAGAGACGAAATTGATCGTTGTTTGGCATGCTTTCTGTGTTTAAGCGGAAATAGTTCTGCATCCACGCCAGTATTTTGCCCGAAGAGGCAGAAAGACCAGAAGACCCTTTGTTTTTGTGCTCGTAGGTGCGGATGTCATTTTTGAATGCATTCCGAACAGCAGTTGTGTGCCACGTGGAACATGCGTACAACATTCCCCATGCTCTAGTGCAAACCTTGATCTTGTTGAATGTGACTCTTAATTGAAGAAGCTCGCCTTCGTCCGAGAAGTAAGAGGCTTCTCTCATCTGCTCCAGAAGGAATTTCACCTGTTCTGGTTGCTTCATTGACCAAAACATTTGACGCGTCTCGAGTATTTTTTCGACAAAAAATATTCTTACGCACTCACTGTTGCAACAATTTTGGTTCACTATGTCCTCGAGCTTATCCTTGCTCGTGTTGAAGTTTGCTTTCTTGTTGTACAGGCGACAATTCTTGTTTCTTTTGCCTAAGTTGTAAGGAGCTTTCTGCTCCTCTGTTGTTGCACTGAAAATACCTCTGCGTACTTCTTGACTTAAAGTCTCCTTGGCCTCTTGAAGCTCCTTTGTGGACGACTTTCTGCCGAACATATTAGTTTCCTGCTCCGAACCCTAAGCCGGTATCCCTTCTGAAGATAGCCTCCGACGGGGACACTTGACGGTGACAATGGATGACACACGACGAATACCAAGAATGCTGCTTCTCTCATTCGGTCTTTGTCTCCTACATCTGTGAGCCGAAAGATCTGGTGGCAAATGTAGTTCAAGCTCAAAGATGTGTGGGAGAACAACGGGCGTTGTGTAAGCCGGAAGATCTGGTGGCAAATGTAGTTCAGGCTCAAAGAAGTGTGGAAGAACAACGGGCGTCGTGTGACAGCTATCCTTGTCAGCCTCTCCTGAACGACCTGGAAAGCTGTCGAAATTGACGTCCATCTTCGTTGCAGTGGCGTGTTGAGAAAGAGTAAGGGAAACGGTTTGTCGGCACGAAAGCAACTTGAACAGATGCGTTGTCTTGTCCTCAAGATACACGCAGTACTCTTGTCAGGTTCCAACTACAACTCTCCAGACGTTACATAGGTTGTGCAACACGAAGACAACTTGAACAGACGTGTTGTCTTGTTCTCAAGAAACGAGAAGTTATCTTGTCGAGTTCCATTACATCTCCAAGGAAGTACTCAGGATGCTCAGCACGACGATGACTCGAAGAGACGCGTTGTCTTGTTCTCGAGAGACATGCAGTAGTCTTGTCGTATTCCAATTACAACTCCACGGACGTTATACAGGTTGCGCAGCACGAAGACAACTTGAAGAGACGTGTTGTCTTGAGACGAGCAGTTGTCTTGTCAAGTTCCACTACATCTCTGTGAAAATGCGCAGGATGCGCAACACGAAAACAACTGGAACAGACATGTTGGCTTATTCTCAAGAGAAGAGCAGTAGTCTTGTCGTGTTCCGCTACAACTCCGTCAAAGTTTTGCGGTACACACCTGCAGAAGTTGCAAAAGAATGGCATCACGCGGAAAAAAACGCCTTCAAGCCTCAAAACACGCTACTCGGGAGTCGCAAGTGCAGCAAAGTCGTAACGACCTAAGTGATAGAACATTGAAGAGACACGGAGCACACTACATTTCGGGCGGGAAACCCAGAACAGCAACAAATTTTGTCACCCCGCCCTATTTTCCGCCGAGAGATCTGCTTTGCAGTCTGCCCGCTCTCTTTCACGCCAGAAAGTGCGGTTTTCAGCAGCCAATTAGTCCTGCCGTGAAATTTTGAGTCCGGCTGACGACATATTAAAAAAAAATTGACACTTTCTCCGCCAAAACTGCAGGCGGGAACTGGTCTCTTGAACGTAGAATGTGCCAAAATGTGTTCCGGTGCTCTTATAGGACAATAAACAGCCTCAGCGTATTTTGATTCTAGACAGCCCGACAGAACGACGCTTCCCGTACAGGTATCCCTTGTTGTACCACGGAAAGTCGGTTGAAGCCCTTCGAAATTACTTTTGTTTTGTGGCGGGAAGATCAAAATAATTGCAAATTTGGTCGTCGTGCCCTAATTTTCCCCCAAGAGGTCCGTCTTCCCGCTCTCCCGCACAGTTACACCAGAAGAAGATTCTCAAGCAGGAAAACCTGACAGCAACAATTTTTGTCGTCACCTCCTGATTTCCGCCGACGACTCTTTTTTTCAGTCCTCCCGCTTAATTTCACGCCAAGAAGTGGAAGTGCGCTTTCCAGCAGTCACTTCATCTTTCCGTGGAACTTTGAGCCCTTCTTTTGTAGCGGAAAGACGAAAAGTTTTGCAGATTTCGTTTTCGTTCCCTATTTTCACCAAGAGCTCCGCTTTCCCGCTGTTTTGCAGTGTTACGCCTGGAGTAGATTTTCAGGCTTTGAACTTGTTCGCCCGGGGTGGATTTTCGAAAATGGGTCAAATTGCTCCCGCAATTTTTTTCGCGGTTAAAATGATTTTTGAATTTTTTAAAATATTTTCTTTTTAAAGATCGCAACCAAATGTACGAACCCTCGAATTTTCAGAGTTGTTTCGGGGTGCCAAGAATGCCCTGGCGGTTAGGACCCACTGCTAGAGGGGTTCAAAAATTAAAAAGGGGGTCTGATTTTCGCTTAAGAGGGGTAAAATAAAATTCGGGGTGCCAAGATGCCCTGGCGGTTAGGACCCACCGCTAAAGGGGTCCAAAAATTATAAAGGGGTTCGGATTCTCAGTTAAGAGGGGTGTAATTAATTTTGGGGTGCGAAGAATGACGGTGGGGTTAAGACCCACTGCTACAGGGATCCAAAAATTATTAAGGGGGTCGTATTCTCACTTAAGGGGGGTCTAATTAATTTCGAGGTGCGAGGAATGACCTGGGGGATTAGGACCCATCGCTAGAGGGGCCCAAAATTATAAAAGGGGTCGGGGTCAAATTAATTTCGGGTTGCGAAGAATGCCTTGGCGGTTAGGACCCAACGCCAAAGGGATCCAAAAATTATATAGGGGGTCGAACTCTTACTTAATGGGGGTCAAACTAATTTCGAGGTGTCAAGAATGCCCTGGCGGTAAGAACCCACCCGCTGTAGGGGTCCAAAATTATATGTGGGGGTCGGATTCTTAGTTGAGGGGGATCAAAAATGACGGTGGGTTTAAGACCCACCGTTATAGGGGTCCAAAATTATTAAGGGCGTCGAATTCTAACTTTGGGGGTTTTAAATTAATTTCGGGGTGTGAAGCAATACCTGCGGGTTAGGACCCACCGTTAGAGGGGTCCAAAATTATAAAAGGGGTCGGATTTTCATTTTGGGGGGGTTCAATTAATTTCGGGGTGCCAAGAATGCCCTGGCGGTTAGGACCCACCGCTATAGGGGTTCAAAAATTATAAAGGGGATCCGATTCTCACTTAAGAGGGGTCAAATTAAATTCGGGGTGCGAAGAATGCCCAGGCGCTTAGGACCCACCGCTACAGGGGTTCAAAATTTTTAAAGGGGGTCCGATTCTCACTTAAGAGGGGTCAAATTAAATTCGGGGTGCAAAGAATGCCCTGGCGGTTAGGACCTACCGCTAAAGGGCTCCAAAAATTATCAAGGGCATCGGATTCTCACTTAAGAGGGGTCTAAATAATTTCGCGGTGTGAAGAATGACGATGGGGTTGAGACCCACTGCTACAGGGGTCCAAAAATTATATTTGGGGTCGGATTCTCAGTTAAGGCGGTTCAAATTAATTTGGGGTGCGAAGAATGACGGTGGGGTTAAGAGCCACCGTTAAAGGGGCCCAAAATTGTA